GTCCAGAAGACCTATACAATTTTTTTCTTTTTGATTTTTTACCTGGATTACTGAGATGCATCAGGACACGCTCTACAAAGTAAAGCCAAGAACAAGGGGCTGGTTTTTACTAGTGATGGACAAATTACATTTTTCTGAAACTTGTTTTGGAACAAAGGTTCATTATGCAAAACTTTTCAACATTCTTCTTTGGCTTCATCTTGTGGCCAAATGAAGAGCTGCTTGAAACAACACAAAATTTGTCACTTTATTATGACAGCTTGTTTAACATCATATCATGTTGTCAGTGGGCTGCTTAGAATGCCTTTTTGTGGGTGAAGGTATAAACTTGTAATTGTTTTTATGAATAAATAATTTAGATGAATAAACCTTTATGCCTCTTTGCCAGTGGCGGAGCCAGACATTTTCCTCAAGGGTGGCCACATGGGGACCACTACTCACACAGGGGTGGCCAGGAAAATTACATCATTTTTTACTTGAAAATTTCTGCAGATCTTTGTATTTTGGTCATTTCCTTATGTCCTTATACAGGCAGTGACTACTTTATAAACATGGGTGTCAGAACCATTTTAAAAGTGGGGGACACACTGTTGGGGGGTCTGGGGGTTCTCCCCCAGAAAATTTTGAATGAAACAGATGCGATTTCCTGCATTTTGGTGTATTTTACCAGGTTGTTTAATATACTTTTACCTACATAAACAAACACTTGATTTAATAATTATTTCAGAGACAAATTATTCATTAGTTTCATTATCCTGTTTTTAAACTCACTGCTAGAGCAGAGATAAGGTTAATTAATGTGACACAATTTATCACATCCAATGACTTTAGGGTTGCTTTATTATTGATTTATTTTTAATTGTAACACATCATTGTGCCAAATAATGATGACCCTCAACTGCATGTATAAAACTAGTTTTAATAACTTTACCCAATCAACAGGTGCAATATTGATACTCACCAACAGTGAATTTAAAGGGGCATTTCCCTTTTTCTGATTTAGTGATAAGTCTACTCATAACCAAAAGGGACAGAGCATCATGCAGCCTTCATAACAGAAAATGACACTGTGTTATGATGACAAAAAACAAACACATTTGTCACCATAAGTCAGATAACATAAAGAAAACAATCACATTTTGTCACTTCTTTGAGCTTGGTGATGTTTCAAACTGGTAAACACTGCCACCCACTGTTCAGGAGGGTTATTACACCCCTAAAGGTTGTTTCACTGTGGAAGGGGTTTGTACAGTCGGGTGGCCAATGGGGTGGCCAAAGATTTGTCTGTGGTGGCTATGGCCACCCCTGGCCACCCCCTGGCTCCGCCCCTGCTCTTTGCTTGTGACTTTTTGCTTATTTATGACCTTTTTTTTGGGTGGGAGGTTTCAGTGCCTATATATACAGGTAAACTACACATATAAAACACATAAGGCTGGCTGGCTGGCTGGCTACATGTCTAAATCACTCACTGGTTTGTCATATTTTGTACAAATTTGCCACCAAAACACCATGAATACAGCCGATGATTCACTTCCTCATAAACCTTTGTATCAGGTATGAAAGCAACAAAGTAACTTTAAAGCATTTTCGAAGCGTTGGACGCCACTGATCATGTGACTTTTGCCAAACGAATCAAGTTTTCAAAACACTGTTGTTTTTTACATGCATGAGCTTCAGCTTCAAACTGAGCTAAACTCATTTTGTCAGTTTTAAATTTTATTGAATTTCTGTAAAACTGATTGATGGACAATGATTGACAAAAGACAATTAAATAAAAGACAACTAAAGTTATAGAACGATACATTTTATTTGATTTTGGCTAGCCTAGGGTTTTTTAAACCTGTAATAAAATTTTATTTTCATCACAAAATAAAGTAAAAACAGTTGTGTTGCAAACTGTTCTTGTTGCTTCTAAGTGTCACTAAAATTGATGTAAAAGTAAAACACCATCCTTATTAAAATCTCTCTTTTGTTTTTTTTTCTTCCTATAATTTGGTAAATCAGAACAAAAACATTTACACAAGAACATTTTTCTTAGTTTTTTTATATAGTAGCACCAAATTCACAGAAATCGCCACAAACCTCAACAACTTCAATATGTCATACTTGTCAAGTTTGTTGTTTATTTCTTTCTTTATTTGTGTAACATCACAAAATGTTTGGCACTAACTTAAAGTAAAGATGAAGTACAAAATAAATACAATGAGTAACCTATAAGCACTTCTGTTCTAAGCACGTAATGACGTCAGGTCGCTTACTAAACACAATGGAAAGCAGCTTTACATTTTCTGTTGCAAGTACATCAGTTCTGTTGTAGAATTATTGCACACAAGCTCTAACTATATATAACTTTATAAAGCAGCACTGATTTCCATACAGGCAAACTACAGGACCTCACTTTCAACTGCAGAACTCAAGCAGCAGCAAAAACAGAATTGCATGGACCAAAGAAGATTCCCAGTCTACGTACTGAAAAACACATGGAGTGTTGGAAAAGTGTTTCTTGACAAACACTGATCAGCAAAAATGGTCAATAATAAGAAAGAGATTTGAAAAAAACAAACTTCCATTTATAATGTTGACATTTTAATTTTACAGAGTCTGTTCAACTTTAAATCAATACATTTTATTCATCATTATCATCACTCTCTGCCAAAAGGTAAAGGCTGACAATAAAGTTTTAGTGGGTGTACATGTTTTTTTTTTTTACCTGGTGGGGATGATTTTGGGCTTTTTTCCCTATACACACAGCCTTGTGAGGACCCACTGTTAGGGGCCACTGTTCCCTTATGGGAACAAAAGCTGAGTCCTTATGGGGGGGAATACTGTTGGTGGGTCAGGGGTTAGGCTGTAGAAATGACCGGTAAATAAATGGAAGTCAATGTAAAGTTCCCATGAGTCTACACCAGGGGTGCCCAACCAGTCGCTCGCCAGCTGATTCCCAGATGCCCGTGCAGCGCAACCTTGCTGCGGTGCCTCTAGCGCCGGCTTTGAGCATCGCATCCTGGAGTGGCTGGTCTCGTATGAAAGCTCTGGTTCTGCTCTATAAGGCAAAAGTTGAATTATGTCCCTGCGACGTTCCCCCGTGTAGATATAAGCGATAATCCTCCAAAATTACGCACCGTTCGACCTCCCGCCAGGGTGGGTTTAGCCCCCCCCTCCCAGGCTAGGAGCATCAGATCCCGGCGTGGCTGATCAGGTTTTAAAGCCCTGGCTCTCCCCCACAAGGAGAAAGTTGAATGGAGTCCCTGCAACGTCCCCTCGCGGAGATATAAGCGAAAAACCTCCAAAATTATGCACCGTCGGACCTCCGCCAGGGGTGGTTTTAGCCACCCTCCCCGAGCTAGGAGCATCGGATCCCAGTGTGGCTGGTCAGGTTTTAAATCTCTGGTTCTGCCCTACAAGCTGATCCTTGAATGGAGTCTCTGTGACGTTGCCCCACGGAGCTATAAGCAAATTACGCACGACTTAGTGCATTTTACGTGCATTTTTGGGAGGAAATTTCAACCTTCGTTTGCTTCTCCCACGGGCTCTGAGCATCGGATCCAGGAAAGTGAGATGACTTTGAAAAGCTGCGGTCCTTCTCTACAAACTGGAAGTGGTTGCAAGTTCCTGGGATGTTTAACTGGAGCTATTAACCAAAGGTGCTTTGGCGGGCGATGTAGTACTCAATTTACTCCGGAGCCTCTAGCGCCGGCTCTGAGCGTCGGATCCGGGCGGGAGAGGGTTCATTTTAATGTTCTGGATCTTCGCTACAACCTGGATGTGGTTGCAAGTTCCTGGGACGTTCCCACGCAGAGATATAAGCGATCAAATGTCGTCGGGTGAGCTCCGGCGGGTGAAATGGCTGATTTCCAGCATGGGGCTGCTGGTGCTGACGCAGGGGAATAAAAGGAAGAGATCCAGTGAGGTGAAACTGCAGTCATGCGTCCAGCACCCGCTCTCCCGCCTGCATTCGGCCAGAAACCCCTAGCGGGCGATATTTCTGCAAAAATGCATAAAATTCAGAAACCCCCCTGATGGATCACTTCCAGGCAATAAAAGGAACAGATTTGGTCAGGTGAAACCGGTCCTGGAAGCTCAGCACCAGGTTTTATAACAGCCTGCACCCTGAACCACTGGTGGGCGATATTTCTGCAATAATGCATAAAATTCAGAAACCTTGATGGATCTGTTCCAGGCAATAAAAGGAACAGATCTGATCAGGTGAAACCGGTCCTGGAAGTTCAGCACCAGGTTTTAGTTCCCGTGCTCCAAAGTTATTTGACTCTGTGGTTCTCACTGGGCTTGTTTTCAGCCCTCATAGCTCGCACGTTACAGGAAGTACTAATTGAAGGAGGTAAAAATAAATTGATCCTTTTTGTTCGAGCATCACTTTTCTGTTTCTCTGTCAGGAGTTAAGTAAGGATTTTATCTTTTCTTTTCTTTTTTGTAGGTAAATATATGGTTAAGTAGATAGTTTTGTTTGACAATACTTTAAATTAAATAAAACTAGCAACACATTATGTTCTGTTTTATTTACTTTAAAGAAGTGAGGAGTAGGGAGACCATATTATGTTTTTTTGATGCTGAGACCGGACGAGTAGCTCTCGGCAAACTGCTGACTTCAAAAGTAGCTCTTGGTTCAAAAAAGGTTGGGCACCCCTGGGCTAGAACAACAATTGTGTGTGTGTGCATATGGGTCTGTTAACAAAATAAGTTGGTATAAGTTTAATTTGTTGAGCACATAGCAGTTTGGAAGGTATTTCTCTGTAACACTTGATGTAATTCTCTGCTCTACACAGAGACAAAAAATAAATAAATTTAAACTTTTCTGATCAATAAAAAGCTCTTGTCAAATCTGAACTAGGGTTGTATTTCTGTATGAGATTAGTTAATGTGATTATTGGCAAAAAAAAGATGCTCCAGCCTTAACTGGCTCGTTTCAAATAAATTCACAGGAGTTTTCCCACAGTCCAATAAAGATTTGTTATTATTATTTACATTTAGAGCTAAATCCCTGCCTCTGTTGCTTCATCCACAGTTCATTTTCACTTAAAAACCTCAAAAAAAAAAAAACTTAAAGTGTGTCTCAGCCTCAGTACTACACATCCGAGTGCAAATTTGCTCTGAACAACGCCTCCAGTTCACGCCATCATTTCAGCCGTTGAGTTACGTTGGCCAAGGCGACAGCAAACGCCTGCACCGCTGAGAAAGGATACTGGAAATCCAATATGTAAGCATTTCCATCTATTCGGCCAAACTGCATCACCTAGAAGAACACAGAAAACCAGAAACACGTCAACCAGCTCTCAGTTGCTTAAATCGTCTGCTCAGTTTTACAATACAATGTTGGAACAATCATATCTTGCAAATTATGTTCTGTTGAATGGTTATCCATAGGTTGTATGTTATCAGTCATTACATCAGAGTATGAAGGAAGAAGTACAGGTCTTCATCCAGGCTAGGCTAATGATTAGATAATGTGGGTCTAAAGGTTTTCAGGCTTTTAAATCATGTCTTTCTCCAAAACAACACACCTGTGTGAAAAAACACTACCTCATAATAATGAACCTGTAACATTTAGTAAGAAATTGCTTTTTAGTTTGTCACTGTTTTCTCAACCAAACAACGTGTTCGAACCAGGGGCATAAAGCAGTCTATGAACACTTACACTCTGATGAACATGTTGTTCAGTAGAGAAAACAACAAACCAAACAAATGTTGACCAAAACTGACCAGAACTTCTGAAAACTCAGAGGCAGCTTAATTAGGGACTGTTTTGTAAAAGAACCTTGACTAATGTTAATAAGGCATAATAACCTTTTTCACTTCAAAAATGACCAGACTGTTTCTTTGAGATGGTTCAGTTTAAATAAAATCCTCGTCCACAGACATTAAATCTGATAGAAAACATGGATGTGGAGTTCAGACTTTGGCTGTGTCCAAAACGGTGGGCTGGGTCCTCCGAAGGCCGAATTCGTCGGCCGCATACGTCACAGCGCTGCGACGAAGGACGTCCAAAACCGAAGACTCCTCCGATGCGGCCGACAAATGCGTCCTTCCTTTGGCCCGAATCGAAGGACTGGTCTGATGGATCCTTCCCGGCCGAGCGTATCCCATAATGCATTGCAGCCCGACCGGAGATTTTTTTATGCTAGTAATGGCGGACGAAGCGAGAGAAAAGAATACGTTTTACATTAAAATATGGCGATATAAAAATAAAAAATTTCTAGCAGTTGTAATTCTAATAATTTTATCATTTGTATGGACATGTTTTTAAATATTTTTGCCATAAAAAAACGCGAAACAAACATGCATCTACAGCGGGTCAATTAATTTTTCAAATGTTACCTTTAACTTAATTTTATTGTTTTGTGATATTAATARCACTAATATATTGATAATTTTCTATTTTTGATCTATTTTTGCTTCTGTTTAGCGTCATCATGGTTGCTAGGTCACATGGCGTACGCCGGGGTAAGGASGGGAGGCTAGACCGTCCAAATTCACAGCCTCTTTTTTCCAGTCTTCCCGGTTTACCAAGGACCCGGCCCACCTCGACTGCGTAGCTGGGTCCTTCGGAGGACCCGGCCCACCATTTTGGACACAGCTTTTATCACGGTGGCTGTTGACTTTACCTGTCTACCATCCAGCTCTATCTGAAAATTCTTTGCTGACTCCTGAGTGACCCGACCTCCAAAGTCCAGCTGATAGACTTGAGTGGCTTCATTCCACAGCGGCTGTTTATTTGCCATAACGTAAAGAAATCCTTGGCTGCCTAAGCTTCGGTCTTCTCTTTCGTTTGCCTTGCGGCACTTTATTTCTTCCAGCTCACTTGCCATACGCATGCTCCGCTTGTTCTTCCAACTCTTCTTGCTGCTCTGGTTCTGGTTCATGAGCTCATCGCCACTGATAAACAGCTCTGGTTCACTTTCCGAGCTGTCCTGGAACTCATTTGTTGTCCTGCTCATTTTCTTTGTTTTATTGAGTTGTTCTCTCTGCCCCTTCGGCTTCTTCTTCTCTCTGCTGCTGAGTCGTGGGCTGGAAATGAGAGTGTTGAAGTCAGAAAGAGCTCGGCCCTCCTTTCTCGACCTGCTCTCTGACACTGTGGGCATGTTGGCCTCGTCTGCCCTGCTGTCTAGTCTTTTGCGACTCTTTTTGCTGAGACGCTCCGACTCCTGCAGGACTGGGCTTTCATTCAGGGATGACTGTTCTGGGAAGTTGTTTGCAGACTCTGTTAGATCTTCTGTAGCACTTTTTGATGGCGGTAACTCAGTGGGTGGGGGAGGAGGTGGCAAAGGAGGGGGTGGAGGTGGAGTAGTAGGAGGAGGTGGGGAGAGTATTGGCTTCTCTAAAATTTGATGGGTTTTTGTTGGCAAGGGAGGTGCCGGGGGATCTTGCATGGGTAGTGGGCAGGGGTAAGGGTTCCAAGGATGTAAGCTAACAGGGTGCAGTTGAAGTCCAGCACATGAGCTGGATCCTGGATACAGAGGAGGGAGGGGGCAGCAAGCCAGGTTAGCCAGATTTGGAGGGTAGCCCGGGGGCAAGACCAAACTAGGGTTCTGCTGGGCAAAAGGTACTGAAGCGACAACGTCGTTTGGAGAATGTGTTGGGGGGTTCTGAACGGTCTGGAGTGGAGGTGCAGTATGTCCCACACTTGGAGTAAAAGGTGACAGGGATATCTGGTAGCCTGATGGGAAAGTAAGTGTGCTTGTGTTCAGGCTGGTCGGAGGTTTCGTTGCGAGAACGAAAGGAAGCCGAGTCATGTCCAAGCGCTGTGCCTGGCTAATGCTATGAGGAGGCGGTTTGGGATTTCCTGGTGCGGAAGCCAGCATTGTTTGTTCTGGAGACAGCCAGAAGTCCTCTGTGGCAGGAGTGTCCCACTGGTAAGGTGGAGGGCGTTTAATGGTCATGTTGGCATCAGCCAGAGTCAGCTGACGGGCAGATTTCTCAACGTGACACTGCTGGTTTAAAGTCTCATCTTCAGTGAAGGCAGAGTTTATGTAGATGGTTCGGTCGCGGCTGTTATCCACGGCCCCCAGCAGACTGTAGGATGACTGAGATGCCAGTGGCGAGGAACCTTTGGAGTGCACGATAATAGTGCTGTGGTGTGCACCTTTTCCAGGTGGGAAGTCCTGTCTTACAACTGTCCCACCTGCGATGCCACTACTCGTGGTCCCACTTCCACTAACACTCACACTGGGACTGCTGCTATTACCGCTGCACTGTGTGCACGTGTACAGCGCTATGGGCACCCTCTGCTGGTAGGAAAGGGATACTGCACTGTTCATCTTCGCCTTAGTGGGAAGGGTTTTTGAGCTCTCCATCATCTGTGGCACTTTGAGTCCTGCCTCTCTGCGGTCACGACGCAGTGTGGCATGAATCAGATTGTTATCGATTCTCTGAGGAGGAGGAAGTGTGGCTGTTACCTGATTGGTCGGATCAGGATAAGGAGGAGGGTCTCCACTTGGTATAGAATATCGAGGGACAGAAAGACGACTCAGTGTTGCAGAGGAGTACGGAAGCTGAATTTTTTTACTGTCTGAGGAAGTGACCTTTAGAGTGGCCGAACCCCCAATTGTATGAACAGCATAGGCATTCTGATTGGGAATGAGGCGTCTTCGAGGCCGACAAACCTCCTCTACGTTGCCACTACTGTCAAACGTTGTGATCCTTTCATACCCCAGGGGTGTGGGGTATTGTAAAGTGACAGGATGGAGCAAAAACTCATCATTCTTCATGCATGGGTCAGGTGCCAACACACTTGGGCTGTCACATTTTGTAATGAATGTTTGAGGAGCAGCTGCTGCCGTAGCTGCAGCTGCAGACACTACAGTCCCTGGATATGGAGGAGGAGGATTCATCTTTCTCATCTGGATCTCCACAGTTTCATCTGTGTCACTGAAGGAGGGCGGTAAAGTCCGTGGAAGACTCGGCTTTAATGTGTGTCCATGGTCCACCCTGTCGATTGCAGGGTCCGTCGCAGGAGAAGGGATTTGTGGTAGGAGGTGGATCTGCTGCAGGGATATGGTTAGGTAGTTGGTCGGAGGTGGAGGCAGTGACATCTGCATCTTCAGCTGCTGCTGCATCTGTTGGTGTTGCCTCTGCATCTGTTGGTGCTGTTGTTGGATCTGCTGATGCTGCTGCTGGAGCTTTTGCTGCTGCTGCCTCATTTCCTGGATCTGCTGTCGGATCTGCTGCTGCTGCTGCTGCATCTGCTGCTGCTGCTGCTGCATCTGCTGCTGCTGCTGCTGGATCTGTTGCTGCTGCTGCTGCATCTGTTGCTGCTGCTGGAGCTGCTGACTGGTCACCTGCTGCGGAGCTTGTTGCAGTTGTTGGTGCTGCTCAGCCTGCTGCTGCTGCTGCTGATGGAGCGTCTGCTGGTGGTGCAGCTGCTGCAGCTGCTGATGCTGCTGCGGATGCTGTGGCTGGGGCAGATGGTGGTGCTGCTGCTGCTGAAGCTGGTGATGATGCATTTTCTGCTGCTGCTGTGTTTGCAGTTGCTGTGGTTGTTTGGGAGGCTGCTGGCGAAGCTGCTGAGAATGAGACCGCTGCGAGTGGGGCTGTGGGGGCAGATGGTGAGGTGGTGGAGGGGGAGGTAGAGTTCCAGGGAGAAGGGGACCCATCTCTAAGCCACTAAAAATGCCCTGACTGGAATTTGAATATCTAGTTGGAACAGGGTATGGTGATGCAACGGCATCTTGGCTGTGATCAGCGACAGGAACAGAGGCTGCTGCAGCTGCTGCTGTTGTTGTTGGGTTAGTCAGCACGTCGAGCTGAATGTTCTGATTGGCTAGGAGAGACTGAACCAGACTGATACTCTGAGTTGGAGACATGGCTTGAGCAGGGCTGTGGATGGGAGCTATGGGAATGTTGACTGTACAGGATGGGTTGTCTCCTGTGACCCCAGATGGTCCCATCACTTTATAAAAAACACAAAGCAGAAATGTACTCAGACATTGTGTGTATTTTTAGATACAACTGTTTAATGCCGTTAGTCACACCTGGTAAATCGTCCTCGTCCTCACTGAACACATTCGGGTTGAACACAGGCAGGCTCATAAAGTCATGAGAAATCTTTCGCACCTCTGGAAGGTAGATTGTCATCTGTCTCGGTTGTAAGTGCAGCAAACTGGTCTTGTAGATAACTGAAGTAAACACAAAAATTAAAAGCGTGCCAACTCTTTAGGAAAAGTCAAGATTTAAGTCATTGGGAGAGGTTAGTTACCTGCACCAAGGTTGACAGGGAGGAAAGATGCAAGCCCAACAATTTTGAACTTTGTTCCCCAGATGTTGGACGTGACTTGTGCAAGATAATTGTGCTGTGAATCAGAGGAAATATAAGTGACTGCTACTGCATATTGTTTGTTGACACTTCAGGTTTATCTAAAGATGCAGTTTTTTTAAAAGACAATTTATTATTTTAAGAAAATAAATCACTTACTACTGCGTTGGTAATTACTAAATCAGACATATGGATAAACTTTACAGTATGAGTTACAACTTTTTTATTGCCTGATGCCAAAAAGATGACTAATAATGTGAATGGGTCTTTGCAAAATATGTGGAGATTATGAATATAACCAATGTTACCTGAGGGAGGGAAATGAGGAACAACATATAATGCGACCTTGTGAGACCAACCTGCAGATGTTTCAGCATGACTGTGGAGGCCAATAAGACTGCTGCATGGTCTCATTGCCTTAATTTGCAGTGCACTGTACCAAGCTTCTGTAGCTTTGACGGTCTGACTTGTGTTGTACATTGTTTCCTGCCCTCAGGGAACTTTAGGTGTATTCATAATCTCCAGTTCCCTCGGTTGACGTCAAGGGCTGTAATGTCCAAGCTGTAAAATCCTAGAAATGTATTAGGAGATGCCCAGTTGGGAGCAGATCAAGTGTCTACCAGTGGGTTTCCCTTAAATTACGCCGATCAAGTGGCAGTACCTCTGGTAGAGTGCAAGCGAACACTGTTGAGTGCATGCATACCTTTGGTGGCATAAACCTGAGAAATTGCCTCTACCGCCCACCCCCATAATTATGTTGACAATAGGCTATTCTGCTTGAATTAGTTATAATTTTAAATGTAATGATTTAGACTAACAATATAAATTGTCCTTCCGGCCGGCTTATCTGTGATCAGGTCGCGGGGCAGCAGGAGAGAGACCCCGCTCTCCCCAGCGACACTTTCCAGCTCGTCCTGGGGGACTCCGAGACGTTCCCAGGCCAGAGGGGATACATAATCCCTCCAGTGAGTCCTGGGTTTTCTCCAAAGTGCCAGATATATTTTGGGGGTGTACGGAGCGCAGCGCTGTGGCTACTGAATAAATGAAAATGATTTAACACAGTTGTTTAAACTTTTAGCAGCTCTTTTTATTCCACAGCTGACCTGCTAAAAATGACAGATTTTCTTTTCTGGATCTCTGACAGACGGACTACAATCTCTGAACTCGTAAAGTTTTTCTTTTTAGTTTTCACTGTCAATTTCATGAATGGACACTTCCTTGTATCTGAGGCAGGAAACATAGCCTTATATGGTGTTTTTGGGGTGGTAATTATGCTAATCTCCTCTCGCGTGCACGAGCAGCTGGATACGAACAGGTGAATTTACGCAGCTCATTTACACCCTTTTCCTGAAGATAGAAGAGTTTGTTGAATCTGACGTGACATGTTCGTACGAACCCTTTGTAGGAATAAAAGTAAGAGAAATTTAGGATAAGAATGATAACATGTTCTTGCATGAGGCCCAAAGTCTCTTTCAAGAAACACCTAAAAACCCACGTTTTCACTCAAGCGTTTAGCTAACCAGTTCACCATTACTGCCAGGCTACCTCCATTGTGAATGCTCGTGAATCTGTGTTTTCTTTACTATCGAACTTACGCCATATTTTTCTCTCCCACATTCATTATGTTTTTGTGTATTATTGTATATTTTGACCTGCATTGACCTTGTGTTTGATTTACAATTTTAGAAATTAATTTCTTGATTTGATGTTCCAGTTTCTCATTGCTTATCTTTAATTATGTTTTTCTGTTGCATTTTATTCTTTCCACCATTTTTACACTGTTAATGATTGTACAGCACCTTGTGAATATATTTCTGTGAAAGGTGCTTCATAAATAAAACTTTACTTACTTACTTTAAATCACATTCATACACTGATACATATCAGAGGCATTAAAGTTTCTTGCCCAAGGACACAGTAACTGAGACAGATGGAATGAGGGATCGACCTTGCAACCTACCAGTTCGTGTTTTCTTATGCTTCTTTTAGCCTCTAGCTAGTGTTTTACTACTTTATAGATAATGTTTTGCTACTTTTACGTAGCATTTTTCTTCTTTTAGCTTTTTGTTGTTTTTGTATTTTGAACCAAAACCGAGAATTTGGCTAGATTTACCTTTGAGTTACTTTTTTGTTATATTTGCTGACATTTTGCTACTTTTAGTTTGTGTTTTTCTCCTTTTAGCAAGTGTATTTTGTATCTTGCAGCTTTAGTATCTTAGCTTCAGTTTCTTTAGCAAATTTTATTCAGCACTCTGCATTCACATTGCATTTTCACAGAAAATCAATTCCTCTAGGTAAGAAACTACAACAACTGTTGGAGATTTACCTCTGTGATTCCATCCATTGTGAACTCTCTTCGTGTCAAACTGGGCGACCGATTTGGAGGTTTCTTTGTCAGGAGCCGTGGTGACCGTTGGCCTTCCTGATTGGCACGTGAAAGTTTGGGAGATTTTCTTGACTCTATGTTCAACCTGTAAAACAAATAAGGCTTAGAGTTTTGTATGATCTTTGATGTTAAAATTAGTATTGTGAAATAAACTAAATTAAACAAACCTAAATTAAGTTTGATAAAATGTTATTTTATGTACAACCCCAGTTTCAAAATGTTGGGATGATGTGTAAAATGTTAGTAAGGACAAAAAATATTCATTTGAAATTCTCATAAACATATAACGTATAACATAAATTATCTGTTTTTCTTCATTCATGTTGAGCACGAGCTGCAGCGCTAAAAAAATCATGTTAAAAACACAAGAAATTGAGTTGGACTGTGACACTACAGACTACTGAGTAGGCATGGGACGGTATGAAATAATGACGGTATGATAACCTTGGGCAAAAATCGCAGTTTCACTGTATTATAATTACAGCTCTTAAAGGTTTTCTTTTAAAACAGGGATTTAAAAAAAATAAAAATAAAAAATAACGTTTGATTATCGTATTCAACTTGAATTATCTTTGGAAGCTGTTTTTATAACACAGAGGTGATATGCTGAAATGTTATTTACCTGTGTGCATTTAAACTTGTGATTTTTAGCATCTAATGCAGTTACCTTATAAAAGTTTATCTAATAAGATAAATTAATAATTGGAATTGTGCTGGAGGAGGATATAAACAACAGTTTTTTCTCCTGTTGTTTCCTCATCCCAAAAAAGGAGGCTCGCTGTTTAGTTATGGTGCCTTAATTCACAACTGAGAAAATACATGTTCAGAATGCTGACACACAAAATTCTGTTTTGATTTATTCAATCTGCTGACTGGATCATGTCAATATATTTCTATTTTGTGTGTAATATGCCCACATATTTTCTTGTAAGCGTTTATGCAGCACACAGAAAACTTCTCCAGTTAGCCTATCAGGGTGTATTTCCTGAAGCAGGTGGAGAAAAATACACAGACTATGTTACACATTGGGCAGCCTAGGTTTCAGTACAAATCGGGACAAGAGTGTGTTGGTTTCAACACAGAAAAAAAAAAATTGGCCCTCTGAATAGACAATGTGACTTTCTGAGTTTTCCCAATAAAGGAGATAATGGAAAAACATCGTAAGCATCTTGCTCTGTTCTGCAAGGAAAACTGGATCTCATTAAAAGCCTCTCTGAGCCTCACAGGTCTGATGGCCACAGTAAACTCTGTAACTCAGCAAAGGGGATGTGGCGTGATCCATAGAATCACAAGTGTTACCACTAAAGGGCAGACCACAACTTGGTATTGTGACATTCAATAATAATACGAGTTTTGTGACATTAAGTGAAATAGAGGCTTGTTGTTCACCTGAAGCTGCAACTTTATTTAAGAACCCAACACAGCACATTATACTAAAGAATGAGTACTTCTTAAAATTAATCAGAGGCCAACAGAGGATTTTATTAGTCTAAAGAAGAAAAGCATTGTAGATAAAACACTAATTTGGACATAAATTAAGAGTTTTATTTGCAACATTCCAATACAGTTTACAGTGGGGAAAATAAGTATTTAGTCAGTCACCAATTGTGCAAGTTCTCCCACTTAAAAAGATGAGAGAGGCCTGTAATTGACATCATAGGTAGA